CCCTTCCAACCTCACTTCGAGTTGAGTGAGCCCCTCATCGATCATCCTCAACTCGTCCATATCCTTTACGGAGTCAGACCCAGCGTCCTCCTCAGTGACGACCTTCCTTCTATCATCAATCAAAGAAGGCACATTCGCCACGACCCCGGAAGATGAGGTCTCCACCCGCCTCGAAGTGTAGGGGCATCATTATGCACCACGCCCTCGACCGTGTCCCCCACGGGATGCATGCTCGTTTCCTCCAAGTAAGGGGCCTCGGGAATTGCCTCGGGACTCTCTCTAATATGTATTGTGACCGTTTTTCGAAGGAAAAAGCCACAACCTCCCACATAAATCGCTGTCGGCCTCTCTCTCTCTCCGTATCCATAGCTCTCCTCTTACGTGGCATTAAACCACCGTCATCAGGAGAGACATCGTCCTCATCAACTAATGAGAAGAGTTGGGGAGCAGGAGTTGCAGATGGGACGGAGACGGGATCCCGAACTACCGTAATAGAGGTTAAGACATGTACGGACATCGTAGTAGTCACAACAGGAGCTGAAGCCGACGATGCAGCAACTGCCTTTCGGAAAGAAGGCACTAGTGCCAGGCTCCTTAGAGAACCCCTGCCTAAGAAAAAGACAACATTAAGTCAGCAAAACGAATCTATACACAATACGAGATGGAGCAGCCACGATCAAAACAAAGAAATTACCAGTCGAAGGGAGAGCAAGCTTGAATTTATTGAAAAAACTTGGCCAATCACGGATCCCTACGGTGTGAGGGAGGAGTCGCTCGACCAATCAGAGATATGAGAGACTAGAGGAGGAGGTTGGCCGTTGGCTGCAAAAGAGAAAAAACATCAAAGTTCGGAACCAAACATGAAAGCAGAAAGAGACAGGGCACTCACAAGTGTAGTTCCAAGCTTCAGGAAAGCCGTTGACGTTGGCCACAACGTCCTCGGTCCTGACAAAGAAGAAGTTAAGCCAGAACTGACGATTGTCTTTATCGTCCATCTTCACTACCAAATATTTGCCTCCTCGGTGGATAAGGTTCATCACCGCCCCCCCATAAAAGCCAGGGGCGAATAGGTGTATCAAGTGCTGTAGTGTCAGCTCGACCCCGGCCAGCTCAGCGAATTTGGTCAGCATCTTAATCACCTTGTAGACGTACGGTGGAAGCTGAGCCGGGAATACACCATAGTGATGACAAAACTCCTCCACTAGCAGGAGGAGGGGGAAAGATTAACTGATCAGGAATGAATAAGCATAAAGAGCGCAGTACCCATGACGATGGACCTGTACTACGTTCCCCTCAGCAGGGATCACCTCAACATGGTTGGGAAGGCCAAATTTGGCCTTAAGTTCCGCCAATTCCTTAGGTGTCAATGTTGATTTAAAAACTCTAGGCGCGACATCCAGTACTTTGGTAAGATCAGACCTGGAGTCAGGGTTACGCAAGATTATTTCCTCCACCGACGGGAAGGTTTCATCCTCAACAATGACGGAAGCGCTCTCCCTATGGGAGGGAAACACCACTGCCAAGGGAGCAACTCGGCTCCCCTTATCAGCATCAGAAGATACGTTAAACATGATTCAACGTAGTGAATAAGAGTAACGAACGAGAGGGAATAAAGAACAATATAGATCACTGAAATAGAGAAATGAAATTCGAAGAAGAAGAGAGCAAAAGAAAGGTATGGTGCTTCGAAACGTTAGAAGGTTTAAACTCCAAAATCGGGTTCATGGATCTCTATTTATAAAGGTCATAGCACCGAAATCAAAAACGGTTCATTATGATTGGCACCAGAACTAAAGTGGCAGGTCTAATTAAAGGTCACCCGCGAAACAAAGTGACGTATCGGGAATATGCGTCATAATGACGCATGACATTATAACGTCATCCTAACCCATGGACAATATAACTTTTGCGAATCATCCGGGAAATTCGAAGCATTCGAAATGTGCGGCCCACAGAGGGCCACGTTGCCTGCTCGCCGCAACAACCACGACCCGTGTAGTCCACTTGACCAACTCGACCACTAACAGCATGATCTGCTCATCGAACCCGCCCGTGAAGCCGACCTCAATAAGCGGGGGGACTAACTATATGAGTCAAAATCTATCTCTAGAATACTTAAGTCAAAATGGTATTAGCGAAACGTTCCTAGGCCACCACGTGTCAAAGTAATCTAAGGAACAATGAAGGCTGTGGTCGAAGAGTCAGCAAGAGCTGAAGTCGAGGAGTCATCAAGGACCGAGGTCGAGGTCGGATATACTTGACAGAGTTATAACGGCTAGTTTCAAGATAGAACATTAAAGAGAATATTCTAGTGGATATATTCTGCACTTGTACTACTAAGGTTTCTAGGAACATGTTTCCTATAAATAGAAAGAGACACAATGATAAGGGGCATGAGATATTCATTTGTAAAATATACTTTGACTTTATAGAGAGAATCTGATCTTATTGCAAGCCTACAAAAATAATCTTTTCACTAAGATTTTTGTCCGCACTTTTCCACTGGATCCGAGAATAACTTGGATATTCAAAGGCTTATCCATCGTTCACCATTGTCAGAAAAAACATCCATTGATTTCATCCCTTCTCAGGTGACTCATTCGTTCTATTTATATAAATATTATTTATTGCTATTCATCACTATTTAATGCGTCGTTACTTCTGTTTGGGTTCTTAAATATTGATCATTGTGTATTGTTATAGCTTTTGGAATAAATCTACGAGCTATTTATCACACTACCGGGAATTTTGTCTTTGAAATATTATTATTAACTAAGATAACCCTCATTTATATAAATTTAATTAGTTGAACCAAGATCAATATTTTTTGGTCAAACAAATATAAACTACATATTAAAAGGCTTTTTTTTTCATTTAATTATCATTGGTTGCCTCGTATTGAAAAGTGATCAATAGTAAAGACAAATTTAGATTTTAAACTCTATGGGTTCAAACTTTATGACTTTTAACATTAAACTCATTATATTTTTAAAGTTATAAATTCATGTCAACTAGTTATTACAATACCAACGAAGTTTTACACGTAAATATACGCTCCGCGTCAAAAGTTATGGGTTCCAGTGGCGCAAGCAGGATTTTTTGTAAGACTTTTGAAAAAAAGAATAAGTGAATAAATTACTACAATAATAAACGGTGTCATTTTTTATACTGATACCCAATATTTTATTTTGCTCATATATATTCATCCATGATGGATTCAATCGTATCCGTATCTAAAATGGTACATCCGTCCCTGAATTTAAAAGAGGAAGCGAGAAGCTCCCTCTCGTTACTCAAACAAGTCAAATTGAAGGATAAAATGTACTTCCCTTAATTCTTTTGCCAAATAACTGAGGAACCTTTGGAATAAAGTAATCTTTTGAGAAGCTTCGAAAATTCATCATCAAATTGTAAGCTATTTTTCACTCTCAGCATGAAACTTGAAGTTTTACCAAGTGTTTGTGACTAGAGAAATTACATAAAGAAACTTTAACCAACCTTTTATTATGGGATACAAATAAAAAGAGACAATATGTTAGTCACTTTGTTTTTATGGAGAGTAAGAGCCGTAAGTTCAAAGGCAAGGTGTTTCAACTTTTTTCGGACAAATTGAAATGTTCTTAAGTGCATGGGTGTTTACAAGTTGAGTAATCTATTTCTATTACCACTATAAAGTTTTTTCCATTATTTTTTTGTAACTGTGGAGTAAATTAAACTTCGAGTCAAATTTTATAAGGGGTATTTATAAATTTCGTGAAAGTACATATCAGATAGTGTTTTTTTTTTTTGGAATGACAACAGAATGAGTCTTCTTCCAATATTACACCATGACAGACCTAGAATATCATACATAGAATTTGAACGTGCAATCTAAAATAGATTTTGAATCGCTTTAATTTGTTATTACATCAGAATCTTTTGTCACAAGGATTCAACAATTTATATATAACAAAAAAATTTAATTTTTCCTTATTTACATGGTAATATAATTTTTCGCTAAAAAGGGTTTCTAATGTAATAACCCTGTTATAAGTTTTATTTTAAATGTCATATATTTGCTTTTTATACGCTATACATATTTCAAAAAAAGAAAAAAAAAAGAAAAAAAAGAGGGGGGTGGACGTTAAGCCCGTCCGTTAAAAAAACCTCTTTAAAAATTACCTATGCTGTAAAAGCTTTATCCAAATTTCCCGGAACAAACTAATGAAGGAATTGTATTAGACCGGAGCCAGCTCTTCCAAAGAAAATTGATAAAATCAAGGGTCTAATTGGGCTATATTGACAAAAAAAATACAATCTCTAGATAAACTTAAGAACTCGAATGAAATTAGATTGAGTATTTAAACCAATTACGGTTATTAGAAACTAAAAGACTCCATAAAGTTAATTAGTTATAAGGGCAAAAGAATAAAATATATCCCATGTAGTCTTACCTACCAAGTAACTTTATTGGATATATAAGTTACCCCAACATATAAAGTGTTACACTGTTGTTGTGTTACTATTTTTAGAACTTTTTTTGTTATTGTTATGTATATTATCTACCCTTCACAAACATGTTGTATGATGAAATTGTATGTCTTTATGTGTCATGATAACTTGGGGTCAATTAGTTTTTTTGGCTCTTTACAAACTTGTTTTTAGTTTTATGACCTTACATTTTTTTTTTTACACATGGGAGATTTATTTTTATACATAAGAGATCAGTCTTTTACACATAAGAGATCTAAAAAGGTAATTTTCTTAAATTCAAAATTGTAAAGAGGCATGATGTACAAATATCACGGATATTAACTTGTCCCCAAGCCTTAGCTTATTACGTAGGAGTCGCAAGGTAAGCTTGAAATACAAAAAGTGTGAAAATATAAGCATGTACAATGCATTTCCCTGAATATAAGCATTCACAATTTGGCTTCAATTCATAACAAACTAAATTGTCTCAATATAAATGGTAAAATACGATATAGGATCGAATTAATATTTCAAGAATCACAAAATTTATATGGACCAACCAACTTCTTGCCTTTCCCATGTCTTGATATTTCCCTTTCCTGTACAGGGCCATGTTAACTGTATGCTCAAGTTAGCACAACTACTCTGTCGGGAAGGCTTGCACGTTACATTTCTTAACTCAGATTTTATTCATCGACGTCTCCTAAGTTACACTAATATTCATTTAAGTTACAAGCAGTATCCTAATTTATACTTTGAAACAATTCCTGATGGGCTTCCCGATGATCATCCGAGAACTGGTGACCGTGTTGTGGACCTATTTAATTCCATTGACACAGTAACTAAACCACGATTTATGGAGATGCTCATTGCTCGTCGATTTAGTATACTTGACAGGCCACCTCTTACATGCATAATTGCCGATGGAATAATGTGCTTTACAATAGATATTGGAAGAGAACTTAACATTCCAACTATACTTTTTAGAACAATCAGTGCTAGTTGCTTCTGGGCATTTTTCTGCCTTCCGCGACTCATTGAAGCAGGGGAACTTCCAATAACCGGTACTCATTCTTGGAACTTCAATTTTTTTCCTCGGCTTTGTTACTAATGTTAGTTCTAATTCTTTAATTTTCATGAAATTGTGTAATGGAATTCATAATATATTAGCTGTATAAATTTGTTTGACTATCAAATTAATTTTACATGTTACATCGGGTTACTTGACAAGAGTGGGTTGCTCTAGTGATGAGCACCCTCCACTTCCAACCAAGAGGTTGTGAGTTCGAGTCATCCCAAGAGTAAGGTGGGGAGTTCTTGGAAGGGAGGGAGCCGGGGGTCTATCGGAAACAACCTCTCTACCCTAGGGTAGGGGTAAGGTATGCGTACAAACTATCCTCCCCATACCCCACTAGTGGGATTATACTGAGTTGTTGTTGTTGTTGTTACATCGGGTTAGTTGTTTTAGTTTCTAGTAGGGGTGTACAAATGAGACCGACAAACTGCACCAACCCGATAATCCGAGTCAAACCGAGAAAAAAAACCCGACCATATTTGGTTTGGTTTGGTTTTAACTAAAAAAAGTCAAATCGAAACCAAACCAACCCGACATTATATGTATAGAAGTTTTAAATATATTTAATACATAAAAATATTTATGGTAGTGTAGTTACAAAAATATTTCTTAAACTTTTTCATAGTTTTATCTTTTAACGTATTATTTCAAGCTTGGACTTATAATTTTTGGATGCTCCAATAAGTTTTAAAGTCCATAAATGTTAGTAATTCAAATAAATCCTAAACCAAAATCAAATCAATACTAATGCTAATAAAAGACATTCAATTTAATTGTACTATGAATAAAAATAGTGTTCGATATCTATTTTTTAGTTTTTTCATGGTTTAGATAAAATGTATAACTTATTTTTCTTTTAGTGGTTAGTCATGTAAATAATTAGTACTTATTAGTCATAATTTTAAATTATGTTTGTTTTCATTATAGCTTATTAATAATATTTATTTTATGCGATTTTATTATCTTTATTGTTGAATATTTTAGTACAATACAATTACTCATCTCATATTTATGTTATTTTATTAAAAAATACCTTATATAATTCTGTGTTACTAGGATTAAAGAAACATTTGGAATACAAATTTTACGTTTTGTGCTATGAAGACTTTATGAAAAAAAAATCGAAAAAATCCGAGATTAAAAAACCCGACTTTTATTGGTTTGGTTTGGTATTTAGATTTAATAACCCGATACAATTGATTTGGTTTGGTAATTAGAAAATCCGAACTAACCCGACCCATGTACACCCCTAGTTTTTAGGTAACTAGTCCACTTATTATGGCCGGTTACTCGCATTTATTATTTTGTATTACATGATCAATGCAAAAATTGTTATACATTATGAATGTATAGTAGTTAAACTCTTATGTTATATATATAAAGGACAAAGTGACATGGATACACTACTCACCAATGTCGTGGGCATGGAGACCTTTCTACGGCTTCGCGACCTTCCTAGTTTTTGCCGCGCAAGTGATCTTACTGACCGTGGTCTTCAACTGGTCATTTCAGCAACTCAACTTACAAAGAGCGCACACGGGCTTATTCTCAACACTTTTGAAGAACTTGAAGGACCAGCACTAGCCCAAATAACCAACAACATTTCCAAACTCTACACAATCGGACCACTCCACGTGCAACTAAAAGCCAGAGTAGCTACCAATATTAAGCTAACATGTACATCTTCGAGCAGTCTTTGGGAAGAAGATAGAAGTTGTATAGTTTGGCTTGACCAGCAACCATTCAAATCAGTGATATATGTTAGTTTTGGGAGCATGACAGTGCTGACAAGAGACCAATTTATGGAATTTTTGCATGGATTTGTGAACAGTGGAAAGCCTTTCTTGTGGGTTGTAAGGCCAAAATCCGTAGCTGAAGACTATCAAATTCCAGAGGAGTTATTAGAGGGTACAAGACAAAGGGGATATATCGTCGAATGGGCACCACAAGAGGAAGTCCTAGCGCATCCTGCTATTGGAGGATTCTTGACTCATAGTGGTTGGAATTCGACGTTGGAGAGCATATATGAGGGAGTTCCAATGATATGCTGGCCATTTTATGCAGATCAACAAGTCAATAGTAGGCTTGTAGGGGAGGTTTGGAAGATTGGATTGGACATGAAGGACACTTGTGACAGAGTCATAATTGAAAATATGGTGAAGGATTTAATAGAGACTAGAAAGGATGAGTTCGCAAAATCTGCCCGCCTGATGACAAAATTGGCGAGGAAATCAGTGAGTGAAAATGGATCATCTTACTGTAACTTAGATCGTTTGATCAAGGACATAAAATTGATGAGGAATGGAAACTAGATGTAGGTTAGTTTAAGAAATCATCCTTAGATGTATAAGCATTGCTTGATAATTTCGGAGAATGAAGAGGAATTCCTCTCTATCCTCATTAATCTTCAATATCACATACTCATTTTGTTATTGATGCAGATTATAGATGTTAGTATTGCTCAATTGCGTTCTTCATTTCAGAGTTTCATGTTATCATCTTAACGTGGGAAATTTTTTTCTATTTTTTCCCCAGTGTTTTTAGCGTAGCCGCATCCGCGTGTTGCCTTCGGCTTTTTAAGTACCGGAGAGAAAGGCCATGTGGGAAAGTCCTGCAAAGTTTGATTGTTCTGATTATTTGACATAGCAAATCAAATCAAGCGGAGTTACGAGGCCGATTCTTTTGTTTTTCGAAAACTAAAATAGATTCTAGGTTAATTTATCACAATAAAATTATTATTTTAAATCTACAATAATCTATTACTCCACAACCGTATACCAACGCACTAAGCACATTATGACATCAACTAGTGTTAGAACCCGCATGATGTGCAGATAATTTGATAAAATAATATTCTTATAAAATTCTGATCTAATATATCATATTATTTTAATAAATATTAGTTGTTATTTTATTATTTAATATAGTAAACGAAAATATAACATAATCTATACAAAATCAAAGGATACATATTATATAGTAATTAAATAAATTATTTTCTCCTTATTTATTCTTTATTGTTATGAAATTAGCAAATATTTAGTACTATACATTTACTAAGATGATTTCTTATTAACTTGTCAATTGGCTTAATATTTTGGTACTACTTCGCTTTTAATATAATATAGATATATTTTTTCTCACTCTAAAAATATTTTTATTTTTTTAAAACTTATGTTATACTGATTAAAATTCTTCAATTATCTAAATTTATCAATAATATTTTTGAGTGTTATTTATTAATTAATTTAAAATATAAATATCATAAAATTATATTTATCCCCTCTTTTCGTACATTATTTCTACTGTAATATTTGATTAGTTTTCTCATTTTGTATTTTACTGAAAATTTAAATAATATAATATTTTTTTACTAAATTGTAATTTTGAATTCATCAAAAGTATAAAGAGATAAGCCCTTTATACCAATATTTTTAATAATTATTAATTTGTGTTATATATATATATATATAATGTACTTATCTTATGTATAATCCTAATACTATTTTTATATTTTTGTATTTTACATTATAAAATTATAAGTTCTATTTATTAATTAAAATTTCTTACCTGAGACATTTAATTAGTATATATATTTTTACGCTACCGCTCATGTTACTCAAACAAGTCAAATTGAAGGATAAAATGTACTTCCCTTGTTCGTTTGTCAAATAATTGAGGAACCTTCCGTATAAAGTAATCTTTTGAGAAGCTTCGTAAATTCATCATTAAATTGTAAGGTATTTTTTATTCTCAGCATGATACGTGAAGCTTTACCAAGTGTTTGTGACTAGAAAAGTTACATAAAAAATCTTTAGCCAACCTTTTATTATGGCATACAAATAAAGACAATATGTTAGTTACTCTGTTTTTAGAGAGAGTATATATGAGCCGTAAGTTCCAAGGCAAGGTGTTTCAAACTTTTTTCGTACAAATTGAAATGTTCTTAAGTGCATGGGTTTTTACAAGTTGAGTAATGATCTAATTTTATCTTTTACCACATGTATAAAGGGGTTTTCCAAGTTCTTGGGATTGTTACACAAATAACCGGCCAATTTTAATGTTTATTTTTTCAAGTCGGTTACACAAATTATACATTGATTATATATATATTTTTATATATATATATATTATTATACATCCGTCGGCTATTTTTAGTTTAAAAAATTAGGCGAGGGACTATTCGGATTAATTCACTGTGGAGGGGCCAAAAAAATAAAAAAAAGCAGGCTCACAACTTCCTCGATTGCAAGTCCCCGTTTTGCCATAGATTTTGTCAAATTTTTTTCAAATATTTTTTTTTTTTGGCAAAACATGTTTGTTTATAGATTTTATTCATGTTTTGGCAGATTTTGAAAATAAAATTTTCAAATCCCAAAACTAGCTCTAGACCAGCTTTTGGCCCAAAATATTATTGTTTGGATTTTTGTAACAATTTCAAAAATTACTCCAAACTTTTGTATGTTATAAAAAAGCTCACCATCTATTATGACCCAACTAATCCACCAGCTAATTACTATCATTTTCTTTTGGATTGATGAGTCTTGTAATATTATTGCAATTTAACGAATTATAATGGGTAGTAATTGTGTTATTAGTAGTTGATATTAAAATATCAGGTTATGATTTTAGAACAGTGTATTATGAAGTTCATTATAAAATTGATAATTTTATGCCAAAACTTATCTATGTTCAAGACTAAGATTTGCGATAATGATAATGAATGACATCGATGAAGGTTCTGTATATACAGGATTAGCAAGTTTATTTGTTTGATATTTTTATAGTTTTTAAAAGTTATGGGTGTAAGTCACATTTCATATTTTTTCAAAAGAAAAAAGTGAATTATGTTTTGAAAAATTATGGCCAAACATATTTTCATCTTCAAATCAAACTTTACCCAAATAACTTTTTTTAAAAAATTAGTAATTTTTGGCCAAATGCTAGCTAAAACTCCAACTAAATTTTATTTGGAGTATCTATAAATAATAAATTTCGTGAAAGTACATCAGATAGTTTTTTCCTTTTTGGGATGACAGTTTTACATTGTGGCAGACACCTGGAATTGGAACCTGCGAACTAGTATAGATTTTGAAATCACTTTAATTTACTAGTATTATATTAGAATCTTTTGTCAAGAGAATTCAACAAATTATATGTAACAGAAAAAAAAAATAGTTTTTCCTATATTTACATGGTAGTATNATATATATATATATAAAAGAGGGTTGGAGAATGTAACGGCCCGACCAGTCGTTTTGTTTTCTAGATCCTCGTTCCTCTAATTAAGATTTCTTGTATGTGTCTTTACTGTTTTTTGACTTGCGAAAATGGACGGTTCGGGTTTGGAAGCGTGTGATAACTAGAAATTCACAATTAGAAAGAGTCTATAGTTTCCCATAGAAAGCATGTGGCTCAACTTAGTTCCTTAATAGTGGCCTAAGAAGGTCAAGTTTGACTTGAGTCAACATTTTGAATAAACGACCTCGGAACCAAGATTTGATGATTTCAATAGGTTCGTATGATGATTTTGAATTTAGGAGTGTGTCCGAATATTAATTTGGAGGTCCGTAGGTCGTTGTGGCTTGAATTGGAGAAAGTTGAAAACTTAAAGGTTTCGGAGGTTAAGAAGTTTGACCGAGAGTTGACTTTGTTGATGTTAGACTCAAATTTTTGGTTCCGGAGTTGGGGTTGGTCCGCTGTGTCATTTATGACTTGTGTGCAAAATTTGAGGTCAATCGGAGTTGGTTTGATAGGTTTCGGCATCGATTTTAGAAGTTGAAAATTCATTAGTTTTAATTGTCTTGAATTGGGGTGTGATTCGCGTTTTGGGTTCTAAGGATTATGAGCTAAGGTTGAATTAAGGATCTTCAGTTATGTTATGTTGTCAGACTTATATGGGTTGGGGTTACGTGAGATCACCCCTGGGTATGTGCACGTTAAGGTTACACCGCGATTTGATGGGCTTGGAACGATTCTAGGAACGTTCGCGGATGAACGTATTTTTAAGTGGGGGAGGATGTAACGACTCAACCGGTCGTTTTGAGCATTTGCATTCCGTTCAGAAGTTTGAGGTCTTGAGTAGTTTCATATGACGTATTATGACTTGTTTGAATCTTTTGTTTTGGTTTTCAGATGATCCGGGATCGATTCAGAATAGGGATTCTCATGTTAGAAACTTTGAGTTGGAAGAGTTGACCGAGTTTGACTTGTTGCGTATTTAACCCCGAATTGAAGTTTTGATGGTTCTATTAGGTCTGGGTGGTGATTCTGAACTTGGGCGTGTGCCCGGATTTGTATTTGGATAATTCTAGGAGGTTTCGGGACTAATTGGCGAAAGTTAAAAATTTGAAGGTTTGGAATGTTCATAAATTTGACCGAGAGTTGATTTGATGATGTCGGGTTCAGAGTGTAGTTTCAGGAATTGGAATAGCTTTGTTATGTCATTTGGGACTTGTGTGCAAAATTTGAGTCTATTCCGAGTTGAATTGGTATTGTTCGGCATGAGTTTTGGAAGTTGAAAGTTTAAAAGTTTATTAAGTTCGATTCGAGATGCGATTCGTGGTTTTGATATTGTTAAGTGTGATTTGAGGTCTCTAGTAAGTCCGTGTTATGTTATGTGACTCGTTGGCATGTTCGTACGGGGGTCCCAAGGGGTTCAGGTGTGTTTCGGATTGACTTCGGACAATTTCGGAGTTGCATGAGATTGTTGGTTTTCTTGTGTTTCAGTTGTGCTTCACGATCGCGGGAGACGGAACACGATCGCGATGGGCGTTTTTGTTAGTGGAGCTGTTTGTTCTTCGCGTTCGCGCTTCAGAGATCGTGTTTGCACTTGGTTAAATTTTTTAGTCTTCGCATTCGCGTCTATGGCTATGCATTCGCATAGTGTTGAGCGGGGTTGGTCAGTCTTGATGGGTTCTTCATCGCGTTCGCGATGGTTTGTCCGCGATCGCGGAGGTCTTGCAGTGTGCGTCATCGCGTTCGCGAGGTTGTTACGGCGAACGCGTAGAGTAAAGTGTGGTAGTGTGAGTTTGTGCTTCGTGAACGCGAGGCTGCTAGAGTGTTCACGAAGGGTATTGCTGGAGGAGTGATATAGAGTACTCTACTTCGAAGGTTTCAGACATTTGAGCATATTTTTAGCTATGAAGCTCGGATTTGGACAATTTTGGAGGCGATTTTTATCACATAGATTGGGGTAAGTGTCTTGTACTTGGTTTTGATTACATTCCGTGATTCCATCTTCATTTTTTGGAATTTGATTCATGATTTAGAAAGGAGAAATTGAGGGGTTTTGTCTAAACTTTCCTAAGGTGTATTTTTGAGTTTTGAACATTGATTCAGAGTCGGAATTGAGTGAAATTAGTATGGTTGGACTCTTAAATGAATGAGTTGTTGGATTTTATGAGTTTTATCGGGTTTCAAGGTG